TTTTAAAAAACAAAACACTATTTCAATGGACCAGCAGTTAGTGTAATGGTTATGTTGCTGGACTCCCATGTTATGTTGCTGGACTCCCATGTAGTCGACCACGGTTCGCGTCCTGGACCCAGTGGCTTAAAACTCACGCCAGGCGCATGTGCATGCGTGCCCAAGATCCCGAGAGGAGAATGGAGGAGAAGGGATTGCGGCATGGCCATCCCCCCTGGGGGGTGATTTCTCGCTTTCGAGCTCTCTGTCTGTCTCTGTCTGGCGAGCACACGCGCCCTAAAGCAAAAACCTCTTCAAAAAAAAAAAAAAAAACACTATTTCATATCATTTTTCTAGCTGTAAACCTAATTTAATTATATCTAATAAGCCACTAGAGAGTACTATTGCTATTAAGTCCTAAGTTACAAGCTAGATAAATAAAAAACTGGTCCCACATAGCCAACTGCGGTTTGAAGACCCAGTCCCAGCAACTTTCAAAACAATGAGGGGCCGGCAGGAGGCATAGTGCTTAAGACACTGGCATAGTGCTTAAGACACATGGCAAACTGCAGTTCATGTCCCAGGGTTCAAGTCCCAGATGGCGACTTGAAAATCCTGCTGGGTACATATGCATGTATACCCAAATTCCCAAGAAGAGAACAGAGAAGGCACTGCAGTATTATCATCCTCCCAGGAGGTAATTTCTCGCTTTCCTTCTCCCTGTCTCTCAATGACAAGTACAAATACCCTGTAGCAAAAAACAAACAAATAAATAAATAAATTTTGGGGCTAAAAAAAAATCTCAAAAACATGCAATGGTGTCCATGCCCAAATTCCTGGCAGGACGGAGAAATGAAGAAAGAATTGTGGGGTGACCATGACCCACTCTGGGTATTTCTCCATCTCTCTGTCTCTCTCTGGCAAGAACATGTGCTCTCTGGCCTTTTAAAAGTATACACATACACACACACACACACACACACGCAGAGATTTGTATGTATACCTATATGTGCACATATGTATGTATGCATGTATGTTTAGAAGCCCGCTAACAAACCTGCTAACTATACGTACTGTCAAAAAAAAAGAGAAAAAAAAAACT